TGTGTGTGGTGTGTGAGTGAGTGTGAGTGGTGTGTGTGTGTGTGTGTGTGTGAGTGTGTGTGGTGTGCGTGTGGTGTGTGTGAGTGAGTGTGTGTGGTGTGTGTGTGGTGTGTGTGAGTGAGTGTGAGTGTGAGTGTGTGTCTGTGTGTGTGTGTGTGTGTGTGTTGATGGACAGGTGTTGCTAAAGTACGGTCAGAAGGGTTTCTGTGGAGGTGTGATCTACAAACCCACCTGGATCCTCACAGCCGCACACTGTTTGGAAAAACTCAATGTCAGGTTTCTCATGATAGTCGCAGGTATGGTCGCTCTTGGAACAGATTGTGAATGAAATTATTACACATGTGAAAACATCGTGAGAACACAACAACTGCAGATTCAAGGTGTGCCAAATTTCATGTGAACAGTCAAATTCATTTTTGTGATAGTCCACTTCAGAACGACAAAAATGAATGAAACGACAAAAAATGAGTCAGAATATTGCAGGCGAACAAAACCACACCTGATTATGTCATTCATATTAATCAAACAAGTTTACATTGTACAACAAAACGTGTTCTAATTTTACTTTAGTATTTTTGTCTTGTTTCTAGTAAAAATATCTTAAAATTCTTAAATCAAGTTGCATGTACTAGATAAGCAAAATGGCATAAGATATTTAGTGTAGTTTCCTTGGGGGGAAAAAACTAAATTAAGTGAATTTTGCATAAAACAAGTAAAAATATCTATAATCAGGTCCCAGGTGCATCTACCAACCAAGGAAACGTGAAAAAGATTAACTCAGTAACTTTGTTTTGGGAAGCCTTTTTCTGCAAGCGTCTGAGAAAACGAGCGCGTCTGATTTCGCTCCCTTGGTGACGTGGCAAAGGGATCTCATTATAATATTACCGCCCCTTAATCTGTAAGTTTACACCCACAGCGCCGTTATATATTACATATTGTAAAAAGGGGCATAATATGTCTCCTTTTAAATTAAAAAACCCCATTATAAGAACCCACAGGAAAATCTATTGTGAATTATTCGTCTGGGTCTTGACGTTACGGCTGCAGCACACTATTTAGTGCCAGCTCGACGTGTGCAGCTCTATTGTGTGTGTTGTCTGTGACTCAGGTGAGCATGACATCGAGGTGGACGAAGGCACAGAACAGGTCATCCAGGTGGAGCAGATGCTAATGCACCCTGCCTACATGTCCGAGACCTCAGACAACGACATCGCGCTGCTGCATCTGCGCAGGCCCATCGTCTACAGCGCCTACGCCGTCCCCGTCTGCCTGCCGCTGCGAGCCATGGCGGAGCGCGAGCTGTGGGCCATCAGCAAGCACACGGTGAGCGGCTGGGGCAAACGCAGCGAGGACGGGCCCACGTCACGCTTACTGCGCCGCCTGCAGGTGCCCCGCATCCGCACGCAGGAGTGCATCGAGAGCAGCAACGTGACACTCACCAGCAACATGTTCTGCGCCGGTTACATCGAGGGGAAGCTGGGCTCGTGTAAAGGGGACAGCGGCGGGCCACTGGTGACCCGCTACAGGGACACCACCTTCTTGCTGGGCATCATGAGCTGGAGCAAAGGCTGCGCCCGACCAGGGTCCTACAGCATTTACACCCACGTCTCCAACTACCTGCAATGGATCCACGAACAAACGGCCAATTCTACAGCTGCAACACAATGAAGCGTTAATGCACAGCGAATCCTCTATTTATGTTTGATCATGTCTGATTTTATTCTGTGTGTTTGATATTTGTATCAATCATTACCTCATTCACAAATAAATAATTCAGTAGTATGCAAATTATCTGTGCTTACTGGGTTTGTATGCCTGTGTGTGCTTGCATTTACCATTGCTGTAAGAAAATTTAGGAACAAAAATAGGAACCTGCATGATAAGTTTTGTGCAAAACTTCCCCATGCATATATGCAATGGATCCAAGAACAGACGGCCAATTCTACAGCTGCAACACAATGAAGCGTTAATGTACAGCAAATCTTCTATTTATGTTTGATCATGTCTGATTTTATTCTGTATGCTATGTTTCCATCCACCTATTTTTATGCGCATTTTGGGATATTGCATTTAAAAAAAACACTGCATTCATCAGAAGGATCAGAAGGCGTCTGAAGGTTATCACAGGTATCTGAAGTGATTCTGTCATTGTGGGTTGTAAAGTTAAGTCACATTTATTCAGTGTTGGGGAAAGTTACTTTTACAAGTAATGCATTACAATATTGCATTACTCCCTTAAGTAACTAATTACATTACTTAGTTACTTTTTATGGGAAGTATGCATTGCGTTACTTTTTAAATCTGGGCTGGGCTTTGTTTTTAATATACAAAAAGTTCTATTTTTGGCGAACGTAACAGCCAAAAAGTAAAAGGAATTAGCCTCATTCTGGATTGCATCAAGAATAGGATGCAGGAGAAGAAAGTTCAACACTCTTCAGCAATAAAAAAAACAAAGAAACACTAAATGTTATGTGTTAAACGTTAAAGTAAATTTTTGTTATTAGTATGGTTGAATTGATTAATAAAATGGGATTAATACATAAAAGATATTTGGGTTACACTTTATTTTAAGGTGTCCTTGTCACAGTGTAATTATACATTTAAGTACTGAGTAATATTAATTAACTACATGTACTTACTATATGGTTAGGGTTAGGCTTACTTAATTATGTAATTATGCATAATTTATTGTTATTATAATATTAAGTACATGTAATGTGTAACAAGTACACCTTAAAATAAAGTGTTACCGATATTTGTTATTTATTGCAGGTTTTGCATGAATTAGCATTTCACTGTTTTTATTCATTTTAAGAAATACCGAATCTGTTTTTTTGTTTTTATGCGGACAGGAGAGCTGTCAGTCAATACATGGAAGAACAAACTAACTGCCGTTACTTATTTGAAAAAGTAACTCAGATATTTTCTTGTAAATTGAAAAGGAATGTGTTTCTTTACTAGTTACTTGAAAAAAGTCATCTGATTACATAACTCACGTCACTCATAATGCATTACCCCCAACACTACGTTTACTTCTATAGCGCTTTATACAATACAGAGTGTTTCAAAGCAGCATCACAGAAAATAACAGTGTTGCAAATTCAGCAATTATAAAAAAAAACTTCAATTTCAGCCGTAAAGCAGCTCGTATGCCCTGTCCAGATACACACACTTGTGGTCTCTGCACTTGACCACTTGACTATTTATATGATTTATTCCTGTATCCTGAGATTTACACCAAAGTGGCCAACTTCTTGAAATGGCTTGAGATGGTTATGAAAACCCTTGGATCTCCAGTTGAGCCGATTGCTCGCGATTAATGTCTGTAATGAGTTTTGAAATAAATCTCTCACTCTGAGTTTGTTATTCATGCATCTGATCTTCATGTGTGTTGGTTTTAGGGATCATTCTGGTGCGTTTGAGGGACAGTTTGGCAGTCATTAACTGAAACAGCATTGATTTTCTTGTGCAGATTTTGCTAATCATACACCAGACGTGACCCTGTGTAGGGTCAGATTCTGTACATTTTGTGTACATTATATGTGTCCCTGCAGCACAAAAGCAGTCTTAAGTCGCTGGGGTATATTTGTAGCAATAGCCAACAATACATTGTATGGGTCAACAGATATTCCAATAAAAGTGAGTTAAAGGGGTCATGACACGAGAAATCAAATTTGCCTTGATCTTTTGGCATTTAAGAGGTCTTTGTATCATTAAAACATCCTGCAAGTTTCATAGCTTAAAACCTCCTCCTCATTATAAACAAAGCATTTATTTATTCAAGCTCCAAAAACAGCTCGTCTGGATCCGAGGGGCAAGATGATGTCACCAAAGCGCATAAACACAAATTTGCATAAACACGCCTCCAGAGCAAGACATCATCGAATAGTCTTCTTCTCAGCATAGGCCCCCGCCCACTGGTGTTCAGTCGCTTGATCACGCTGAATGAGAGCGTCGCGTCGCGTCAAAAGCACATAGAAATAACAATCACTGCGCTATCTCGTCTACACTGGATACAGTAAACAGATATGAGTCTGTCGTCAGGACAAATGCAATGAAAGAAAGTTTGCTTTGACGCGTTTGGTTTAAACAGCTCGGTCGCGTCTTTGTACGGATATCAGAAGGATCCAAGCGTAAGGAACAAGTGGATAGTTTATTTTAATGTCATCCCGGATCGTGTCAGAGGATTTTGTTTTGTAATCGAGGCACAGTGTCATGGAGAGTCACAAAGAAGCATTCGATGAAAGATGAAGCGGAACTAGATCTGCATCACAAACCATAAGTACATGATTTCATAATGCTTCGTCTGGAAATGACCGTTTTATTTTGATCATGTTGTCAAAACACTGGCATGCAATAGCGAGGGGGCGTTGATACTGTTTCCTATGCAGTGACATTAGCCAATCACAACAAGCCTTAAAGGACCCGCCCCTTAAAACAGGTACTTATTTGTTGTTGTTTTTGTGCAAAAAACTTTATTAACATTATATGTAAACCTCAAGGAACATATAAAATAAAAATAAAAAATCCATGTCGTGACCCCTTTAACGGCCCATCTTCATCTCTGTGACCTCAAACAGGACAGAACTTCTTATTTAGTTTGACTAAACAGATGTTCACCATTTATCACCACTGCATTATCACCAGCCCTTTGAGATCATTCGCTTATTGTATTCCTCCTCGTAAGTCTCTTTGGATAAAGGCATCTGCTAAATTAATAAATGTAATTGCATTAGCATGAGACTCTTCATGAATCCCTTACATACATGAGCACTCATTTGAGTCTTCTGTACTATATGCATGTTCTGTGTGAGAAACAGAGCCTGATAATCTTGCGCTTGGCTGCGGCTCTCAAATCTGTGTTTGTGTAGAGAACATCAAATGAAGTCATCGGAGAGGATTCCTGTATGAGCTCTGAACTGAAATATCCCACGTGTCGTGAGTGTAAGCGCTGGTGCTTTTCACTTTGTCCTCTTGTCAGTTTCTCCTCCCCCTGTCTCTCTCTCCCTCCCAGCGCTCAGTTCATTGACCTTCTGTCTGTTTTCTGTCGATCCTCTAATGTGAAAGAGCTGAACGCTGATAAACCACAATGTCTTGGGTCTTCTGGAATTTTCTCTGCTTGTTTCTAATACACTGTGTGAGTTCAGAAGGTGAGTGCGTTGTCTCGACCGAAAAGACCGAAGCTTCAGAATGACTCGTATGACTCTCTTTTTCTGACCTGAAGGTTTGTTGTTTAAGGCCTAATCAATGTCAGAGTGAGTTTGAGCGTGCTAATGATCAGGTTTGGTTTATTTCTCAACACTCGGCTCTTCCGCCGCTATCAGGAGGGAGGCTTTGATGATGATAATGTCATGTGTTTCTCCAGTCTTCCTCCACAGTCGAGATGCCAGTCAGGTCCTGAGCCGGCGCCGGCGCGCCAACACCATTTTCGAGGAGCTAAAGAAGGGAAACATGGAGCGCGAGTGTGTTGAGGAGCGCTGCAGTTATGAGGAGGCCAGAGAAATCTTCGAGGATGTTAAAAAGACGGTCGGTGGTTTGTTTGTTTGTTTATTTTTAAATACTTCATTGGAAACGTTCAGGAAATCATGTGTACCACCTCAGGCCCAAAATACCAGTCGTGAGCACCGCAGACATTAGCCATGTTTACTCAACCTACTCTTGTGCAATTTTTGGGATATTGCATAAAAAAAACATGCTGGATGTAAACGACAAGATGCACATTAAAGTTGTGCATAAAAAAATTATGTGCTCAATTGAGTTTCTGTATCTTTTCTGTATCTAATAAGAAAACATGCACAATAACTACAATGGAAACACATGTACTGAATTAATTCCTCAACGTGCATCAAAAAAAAGTAATGCGACTTTGCCTCAACAGATCATGTGATCAATGTGCACCAATCTCATCGCACACCATCTTAAATATTGTTTTAATAATTCTGAAATGCCTGAGCCGAAGTACTTCATCAAAATGATTTGGTACAAATACCTCCGTAACTGTCTCGCACGATTGCGTTTCCAAACATCAGGCAACCAACGCAAGTTTGTTACTGCGTTCCATCTGGCGCAAGTCATTTATAATGTGGAAAAAAGAGCCACAGGTTCCCTGGTTGCACCGACTTACATTTTTATTATTGAAATTTCGGGCCAGTTTCCATTGTGAACATGTGGGTGTCAGACTCTGTTTGGTGTCTGTGTTTTGCTCCCCATGTGCCTTCCTTGCCCTTATTTTGGTCCTTCCTGTTCCTGTCCCCATTTAGTTCTATTAGTTCCAGGTGTTCCTTGTTATTAGTTATCCTCCTCACCTGTCTGCCCCTCGTTATCTGCCCTATTTGAGTTCTAGCCCGTTCTGTTCTCCCTTGTCTGGAATTGTATATGTCTACCCTTGCTACGTGTGTTTTCCTTGTTCCCTGGATGTGATTTAAAACCTATATGTTTGAATTCCACTCCTCGTCTCTGAGCTCCTTCGTCTCAGAGCTCCTCACAGTAGTGAAATGTGACAGAATTCCGGACCGTGACAGTAAGCGGCGCCCCTTCTACCCGTGTTTTTCGTTTTTGAAAAGTGTTTTGTTTTCCTGTTTGTTTCTCCCTACGAAAATGGAGGAACGAGCGATGTTCATCGCCATGGCTCAGGCGAGCCACGACCCGATCACCTACGCGAGGGCATTCGTGCCGCTTGCCCTCGCCAGCTCCCTCGATGGGGAGACCCTGGTGACGCTGTTCCAGCTCGGGATCACATACCATCGCTCCGCGGAACTCCCAGACACCACCAACCTCGAATGGAAGGAGGCGGTCATCCGGTGTCTGGAGAGCCTCCGATCCCGATCCGGAACCCCTCCGCCGGCCGTTCCACAGTCAAGTCCACCTGCTGTGGCATTCTCAAGCCCGCCGGCAGTTCCTCACTCAAGCCCGCCGACCACACCTTTCACCCCGAACCTAAAGGGGAATCAAAGGAGGAGGATGAGGAGAAAAGGACTGTCCTCCGCCCTCATCCTAACCCCAGAGCTTGCTCCAGTGTGGGCTCCAGCCCCCAAATTCAGCCAAAGGGAGGGCTCCAGTTCCCGAGTTTAGCCCAGTGAGGGCTCCTGTCCCCGAGTTTAGCTCAGAGAGGGCTCCAGTCCCCGATTTTAGCCCAGAGAGGGCTCCTGTCCCTGAGTTTAGCCCAGGGAGAGCTCCAGTCCCCGAGTATAGCCCAGGGAGAGCTCCAGTCCCCGAGTTTAGCCCAGAGAGGGCTCCAGTCCCCGAGTTTAGCCCAGAGAAGGTTCCAGGCCCCATGTCCTGCCCAAGGAGGGCTCCAGTCCCCGAGTTAGGCCTATGGAGGGCCTCTAAGGACGATATTCTCCCCAAGGATTTTTTTTGGGGGGGTAGTATGGGTCCGTCCGTAGTGGCCGGGCCGAGTGGCAAGGCCAAGGCCACGGAGGCCGTCCAGCCATGGCCTCCTGAACTGTCTGCTCCGCCCTGGAGGTATTCCCCGTGTTCCAGTCCTGCACCAGCCTCCAGTGCGCCCACCTTCCCTGGTGGAATTGTTACGGCGCTGGACGCGCCTTCCAGGAGGAGGGAGTAATGTCAGACTCTGTTCCATGTCTGTGTGTGTTTTGCTCCCCATGTGCCTTCCTTGCCCTTATTTGGTCCTTCCTGTTCCTGTCCCCATTTAGTTCTATTAGTTCCAGGTGTTCCTTGTTATTAGTTATCCTCCTCACCTGTCTGCCCCTCGTTATCTGCCCTATTTGAGTTCTAGCCCGTTCTGTTCTCCCTTGTCCGGAATTGTATATGTCTACCTTTGCTACGTGTGTTTTCCTTGTTCCCTGGATGTGATTTAAAACCTATATGTTTGAATTCCACTCCTCGTCTCCGAACTCCTTCGTCTCCGAGCTCCTCACAGTAGCGAAGCGTGACAGTGGGATGGAAATGGTGTTTTAATCAAAATTCAGTATTGTAATTTTGTGCACAAGTTAAAGTCGTAACTTTGGACGGAAACATAGCTAGTGATGGAGACGATTCCCTCAGTATTTACGGTTTAGAACGCATCCGCTTATAATTTGAGTAATACGTAAATTCACACAAAGTTTCCAGGTGTCTTACAAATATTAATAACCAATGATAACCAATTCTTTTTCTAAACATGTTTTGTGCTGAAATGTTACAGCCAATACCTAGCAGCTATTATCAGTGTGAATTTCTCCATAACAGAGTTGAACTATAGAACTTGACATGGCCAATATAAATACAATGAAACATTTTTCAGGCTCTGTTTGAACCATTTGATGAAAATGAAATTTTTTGCTACAAAAATAACCACATGTGAAAGCCTGCTGTCTAAGGTCTATTCCAATGACAACAAACATCAATATAAATCCAGTTCAAAAGAATTGAGTGTGTGTTCATTTAATCTGATGGATGTGTGTTGTGTTTTCTTTCAGGATGAGTTCTGGAACAAGTATATTGGTGAGTCTGCAATGATCCTTCGGTTCAGCTTGGTTTTAATGGTGAAGTAAGTCTTGATACGAGCGCTTGTGTGTTCAGATGGAGACGCGTGTTTGTCCCACCCGTGTCTCAACGGCGGCGAGTGTAAAGACGCGATCGGACCGTACACGTGTTTCTGTCAACAAGGCTTTAAGGGCTACAACTGTGAGATCGGTAAAGAGCCGCATTTTGTTCAGTAATCACCAGTGTTGGGGAAAGTTACTTTTAAAAGTAATGCATTACAATATTGCGTTAAGTAACTAATTATGTTACTTTTTATGGAAAGTAATGTGTTATGTTACTTTTGCGTTACTTTTCAAATTTTGGCAGGGCTTGCTTGATTGTTTTTAATATAAAAAAGTCCTTCTTTTACAAGTGTAAAAGCCCTTTCACAACAAAAGTGAAGTGAATGCGCCTCAGGCTGAAGGAAATGTAAATTCACGTCTGTACAGTAGAGGGTGCAGCTCAAACGAATCACATGAAGAATATGACGCAGGAGATGAAAGTTCAACACTATTCAGCAATAACTAAAATAAAACACAAATGTGTCAATTTAGCTTATTAGTATGATTGAATTGGATCATCGGAAGTCAGTAGCAAAGACATTGGTTAATAAAATGGGATTAAATACATTAATGATATTTGTCTTATTTAACATATTTAATTATTGCAGGGAGGGCGCAGCTCAAACAAATCACATGAAGAATATGACGCAGGAGATGAAAGTTCAACACTATTCAGCAATAACTAAAATAAAACACAAATGTGTCAATTTAGCTTATTAGTATGATTGAATTGGATCATCGGAAGTCAGTAGCAAAGACATTGGTTAATAAAATGGGATTAAATACATTAATGATATTTGTCCACACAACAGACCGTCAGTCGATCAGCGGCGCTGAGTTTCTCTCCTGTGTGTCTCGCTGCAGTTATTCCTGCGCTCTGTGAGAGCGAAAACGGAGGCTGCGATCATTTCTGCAGGGTGGAGAAGAATAACGTCGCCTGTTCGTGTGCTAAAGGCTACGAGCTGGCCAATAACGGGAAGTCGTGTCAGTCTCAAGGTAAATGATGTTCTGATGTGAGCGAGATGTTTATCCGTCCTCCGTTTAAACACTTTTCGGTTTCAGATCCTTTCAAATGTGGCGCCGTCCATCCTCAGAAGACCAGAAGCCTCTTAAACAGCATACACATCAACAACACTGAGAATGAAGAGGAGACCACCGCCGAGCCTGTCGTAGACGCCACGAACCCTCCTGTCAATGACACAAACAGCATGTTTGGCCTCTTCGAGCAGGAGATCACGGATACGGTGAAGGAGCAACCCATTCTGGCTGAGTCCTCATCAGGGGGAGACCGGAGAATCGTGAACGGTGGGGAGTGTCTTCCTGGAGACTGTCCATGGCAGGTAGAGACTCTTCTTTAAGCTCTTCTTTAGCATGAAGCTTTACATTGGAGACATGAAATATGGCAGTTTGAGCGTGTTGACGTTGCATGTTCTCTCAGGCTCTTCTCATCAACGAAGAAAACATCGGCTTCTGCGGCGGCACCATCTTAAACGAGTACTTCGTTCTGTCGGCCGCTCACTGCATGAATCAGTCGCTCTCCACACGGGTGGTTGTAGGTACGACTTTTCATATGAACATCAAGAAATTTGTGAAATATTTTCATGCACATTTTCAGAAATTTGATCCACAAAAAAGCTGCTTGATATGCATCAAATAAACAACAGCAAATCTCCATATGCACTATTATTTAACATGTTTCGTATCAGTATATTTTATGGTGTTCTAATAAGTGTTATTATAGTTGACCAAAACTAGTACTAAAACCATTAAAAAAAAAATTTGTTGTACTTGAAATAAAATACATTTTAACTTAATTAAAATATAAAAAATCTCAAACTTGTCTCAAAATGAAATCTTAAACTTTCTTGTTTTCATTCAGTTTAACAATGTACAAAAATGAGTAAAACTAAAATTGAAATATAAATTAATAAAAACTATATGACATATTTTAAATAACATTTATAATAATAATAATAAAAATGACAAAAGCACTAACTATAAAATGAAAATAAATTCAAAATATTAATAAAAAACTATAATAGTATCTCAATGATGCTAAAAATAGCACTGGTTTTTAATTTTAAAGAAATAAAGGAAATAAATGAGTCATTAAAGTGAACGTGGAGCAGCTCAGATCATTTTATGAGACTGAGATCATACTAGCCGTGTTTCCATCATAAGTTGTGAATTTACATTATGCACAAAATTGGAATATCGCATAAAACATTAGCGCATAAGCTGTAATAATTATTAATAATAATTTTCATATAATAAATTATTTGCGCCTCAGAGCGAGCAGACGAAACACAATAAATGTGATGCTGCTGTTTGGAAACGCAGTTGTGTAAGACTACTATTCTACAGAAAGAAGTGTAAGACTATTATACTATTATTCAATTATACAGAAATGACCATAGCAACATCTCGGATGCTGTGCAATGAGATCCGTCCGCTGGCTAGTGAAGTTATCCCATCACATCACATGACTTTTTTGATGTGCATGGAGCAATTTATTCACAAAATGTGTTTCTATCTCCCATTTATTTGCATTATGCCTTTTTTGCTCAAGTCAAAAACCACCTCAAGCGAGCGTAAAACCTTTTTTGCGAATTAAGGGATTTTTTTTCGATATTTGGAGTTTCCATCACTTGTTTCTAAAATGCGCATAAAAACAGGGTGATTAAAAACATAGCTACTGAGATCTCTGCCTTTTGATTTCTTGCAAATCTGAGCACTGTTTGAGACATGGTTGAGATCAGTGTTTTGTAAATTACGTAATCAGATTACTTTTTCAAGTAACTAGTAAAGTAACGCATTACTTTTTAATTTAGAGGGAAATATCGGAGTTACTTAAATAAATATAATTTATGTATTTAATCCCATTTTTTAACCAGTATCTTTCGATGCTACTGACCTTCGATGATCCAAATCAACCATACTAAGCAACAATGACACATTTGTGTTTTATTTTAGTTATTGCTGAATAGTGTTGAACTTTCTTCTTTAACGTAACGCATTACTTTCCATAAAAAGAAACTAAATAACAGAATTTGTTACTTTTTAGGGAGTAACGCAATATTGTAATGGATTACTTTTTAAAATAAAGCAGTAAGCCCAGTGAAGCCGTGGTTTACAGTGAATTTATAACAGCTAAGGGACGTTGCTAGGTATGACGCGAAGCTGAGTTATAGCTGTTATAAATTAACTGTAAACCACGGCTTCACGGGGCTTATTGCTTTTATAA